TCACTAAAATCGAGGAGCGCCAGCAATCTGTCATCGAGAGAGTTAAGAAGGAAGAATGTTGGGAATTTCACGTCGCGAACATATCCTCAACCCGGTAAGATCACACAACGGACGGGAATGAATGACTTGGTCATCGAAAGCGAAAGGAAGAAGCTACGGTGGGCGGGTGCGTAGATAGGTTCATCGAGGGGAGATGGTCAGCTATGATCGTCGACTGGCAACCTCAATGGTGCAATACGACGCTTCGTAGCCCACTGCACCAGTGGGATGATTATATCAGGAGCCGGGAAAATCGAAACTGTCAAGAACGGCAGACATAATGCGGCCACAGCGATTCATTGCATCCAAAATACGTCAGCATCAACACTAGAAAAACGTTATAACATCTGCTTTTATCCTTTTGAGAACACCTTTCATTGTTGAATAAATCAACGGACCGTATCGAAAAGTCGGTTCGTTCAGCCTAGGTTGTGCTGCTTTACAGACCGCAACAGGACAGCTGTCACTGCACTTATGGCTGCTTCCAATCAGGTCGTTGTGTTGCATGTTTGTATGCATCATATCAGGGACAAAAAGCGAAGAACAAAGGATTAAACTAAGGTGAGCTCCGAGAAACGGACGAGAATACACAGCCATTGTCACTTCCTGATATCGCACACTATGCATTAGTGTGGTTGGACCGTAATTGTTATTCCGTGCTCATTTTTTATATTCTTCGTTGTATTTCGTTTTTGCTGCGCTCTATTCGCTATTCATCAATTTTATTTTTGTTCCGCGTTAGACACAGGTGACACTGATAAGATGCCATCCAGGTAACATGACTGTAATGGAATTACGCTTAGTTTTTTTTGTCATTTCGTATACTTTTTTTATGTAACTTCAAGTTCATGTTAAAAAAATGTTTGCCTCTCCGAAGAACAAGAAGAAGCATAAGGAATAATCGAAATCGCAAATCCCCGGCCCGTAGTCGATTGCTTACTTGTACGTAAGATTGGTCCTGGGCCATTTCGAGCCTTGCAACGTGTACCGACGGTATCGTCGCTGAGGATATGGCACGTCAGGTAGGCCGCATCGCTTGGTCTTCATCAACTTCTTAGTCGCATCATCCAGGTTGCCGGTAACTGGCAAACCGGCGAACTGCTGCAGCCGACTCAACGCCTTCTTCACTGCATCTTCCCGGCGGAGGTTGCTAATTTCCGGGTTACTCCGAGGCAAGTAACCAAATGAAGTGAGGTAATCGTGCTACAAAAATGCACTACGAGCAATGAACGTTATGAATAGCAAAAAATAGCTGGCATGCAGGCAATGATGCACGTTAACCTCGAAGCTCAAACGGCAAAAGCAGATCGATCGATACCTCGCCATAACCGAACAGTGTTCAAGAGTGACCTCGCCTTGAAAATTTTGCCGCTTTCACTTGCCGGGAAAAAGTCACGCATTCTTTAAGGGAACCGCATACTCGATAACCGGCCAGCTTGGAATTCAATTCAATTCAGTCGGTTAGAACTACTTTGTCGATCAGTCACACCGCAATAAGTCGCCTTGGTTAGAGCACATGAAAGGCAAACGGCTACTGTATAAGAGCATGAAGAAACACAGGGACATCTAACGATATGGATGATGTACGAGTTCCCGAAGAACAGACATTTAATCAATCAGCCATTCAAATCCCCTTGTTTGAGAAAGAACAAGCGTTATCAGAACAGAAATGTCACATTCACAATTTACCAACGGCTAATGTTCAGGGACCCAATATGCATGTATTGACAATGGGGCAGTAAAGACGGTTTGTAAGCAACTGTACAACAGGCAACCGAAAGATCTGACCACTTATCCAGCGACGTTATCCATCTCTTCGAACGGGTCTAAACTGCCACGCAAAGCCGTCATTTGCATGGCTCTATGCAGCATGGACCCTCTGACCATGACAAATCAAGGAAGCAGATCAGCGACGCGTACCGCATTAGAGGCCAAACGCATGTCTTCAGGAAGATCGTCGTAACCTTTGATGGTCCACGGACCTGTTTCTATCGCTGAACGAATGAGGCAACTGTTGCTGCATTCTATACAACGACTGTAATGTACTTGTCGTAACGGATGTTCTTACTGAGGATGAATCTGACGTACTTCAATTCGAGGTACTGTACCAGGTTCAAGTACCGAGGTACTGATTTTCTGCAGCTAACGTCACTACTTACAACAACTGCATTTTGACCTAGGCTAAAATCCTCTTGGTCTTAAAGACGGCATGAGGAAACATCATGACCTCGAATTTTGACGGATTCAACTTGAGATCTCTCCTCATTTGCGTACTATAAGACAAACACGTTATGTCTTCATAATTCTGGTCGAGTGCAAATATTGTTACACCATCAGCAGCAACAACCGTATGACAACATAGGTCTTTGTTAGAAATTCGCCCGCTCCGTACATAAATATTCATAAACAATTTTATATACAGTAAATCAGTCAACAGGTCAATAAATCATCATAGGCTACGCAAAGGCATCTGATCAATATGCTTCCATTCTATTCTTTCAATGCCGGTCTGTCACTTCTTCACTGTTCATGCTTATAACATTCCTTGATATAACTGGTGTCCCATAATATATTGTAAAGACACTGCTATCTCTATCATATTACTCTAAACGATGTTCATGTAATTACCGAGTAAAAATTAGGTATTTTTTATGACGATATTCAAGCAGTCCTAACTAAAACAAACAAAACATTACATAGGCGTATCGCAAGGTTCGTCCTCAGTACTTTTTACCCTGTATACGAACAACTCTAGTTTTTAACTACGACAAATGTGCTTGAAAGATACGAATGACAGTACCGTCGTTGCAGCTGTGGGAAATGGCTAGAAGAATATCCGAGTGCCATGAAGAACCTGTTAGATTGGTCCAATTCACACTCAATTTATCCTCAACCTCAGCAACGGTGTGCAATCCTCTTTATTCCTTCAGACATGTGAAACCAGTACCTCTTAAACCTCGCTAAAAAAGAAAAAATGCTAAATTAATCCAGACGCCGGTAACGCGGGTCAAAAATATATAAAGCACCTTGGAGTAGTCATTAACCCTGGCCTGATCACATCACATGGCTTAATGTTCTTCCTCACATGAAGATAACCGTAGGACGTTGATCTCCGTTTTTATGTTATTAGCAAAGGGTATATTTTATTACTGGCAAAGTCGACAGCAGCCATATGCAAGCATAGTGTGTAGTTTCCGGTTTCCTTCTCGAGAGCGCTACTTGTTTATCAGCCTCGGAAGAAAGAAAGGGAATTGATCTGATTGGGCTCGAAACCGGCACCTCTTGTTCTGAGTATGACGCACTACCGACTAAACAGTTCTGGTCAAAGACGATCAGATGAGACCGCAATGGAGTAGATTCAACAAAACAGAGACGAGCACAGAAAGGGAGCTAGGTTAATCGATCGGCTACGAATGAGTGATCTTCTTAAACCGAAATCGAACTACCTCTGGAGTTCCCTAATGTTCGACGTCTAAATTGGAATGTTCCCATACATATTACAGGTTACTCGTAACGAACTCACGTCATCATCTCTGGACTGGGACTACAACCAAACCGAGTTTAATGTATAGGAAACTTATTAAGCATCCATTACTATCTTGAGATGCGTCTCTGTTGCAGATCTTGCACCAAATTCAGCAAGTAACTATGCTAAACTGAATCCGTATTAATCTAGAAAACAGACGATATTCTGATTCATTGGCTTTCAGGAAAAAAACCAAAACCGTGTCGAAATACCTTGAAGTTTTACGATTGGCGCTGCGGCCTTCTTCAAGACAGAAACACAGATTTAGCATTAACAAAGAAAAAACGTAATGCAAAATAAATAACGGATCCAGTAAAATACGTATAAAGATTAATTTAAGCCTGAGGCAAAGTGAAAACGTCATCTAACAAATACACCTGTGACTGTTAACTGACTGGACAACACGCCAATTCATAAGGTGAAGACAGCTGATACGGTAGCTACAAATTATACGCTATTATTTAGAGATTCACAAATATTCACTACTATACAATTTGAGAATAACCAGAGAGCCATAAATCATTTCATTCAACGACCACTGCTGAGGGAAAAGAAATGAGGGCAATTCCAACTTACTACTTTCTTTTAAAATAAGAACGATGCTCTGCGACCCTCAAAGGAAAGAAAACGTCCTTAAATGATAAGTCTGCTGCAATGATATGCAAACATCGTTATGTTATTTTGGTTCAAAGGAAGCGAAAGGCATAGGAAATTTTTCAAAACGCGAACCGACTATCTTGCAACGGCTAACAAATGACCTTCTGAAAAATACATACGTACACACATACATACATACATACATACACATATATGTATATAAAAAATACTTGATAAATATAGAAACAAGTAACAAGAGAAAAGAGAAAAAGTGGACTCGACCTGAAAGTCGAATGCGAATATTAAATGTGGATAATAAATCACCAAGCTGAGAAAACATTCGCAGTAGGGAATTACGCAATAAATTTTTAAGTGGCAGTCATCGTTCATTTTTGAAGCTGTATATTCCATTTGGATTATAGGGGTTGAGTGTAGCTTTAGGCTTCTTCTCCGCCGGCTGAATAAGTTCCATTCACTGAATTTCAATGTGCTCAATACACCCTAGCCATCCGGGGTTCAATTGCGCGGAATCAAAACTAAACTTGCTCGAATCTTGACATGGGAAACCTAATTTTTGTTTCAAATGAAGATGAACTGCCATTAGCTGCTACTATATGAAAAGAAAGCAGATGAGTAAATACTGTAATGACCATCATACTGTAGTCTTAGATTTCATGAAGTAAAACATGGCTGCTGCATGCTCAGGAGGGCAACTTATCAACGGTTACAAATCGTCCTTTAATTTCCTTTCATTTTTATTCACCGGTCCTAAACTTGACCACTTCCTCCTTGAATCCTTAAGAGGTTTAAACTGAGTCGATCATAAAAACCGCCTCTTTAAGATCGAATACTTTCTTTATTCAGTGCTTTGGTAGGAAACTTTTCTCTTATGATCAATCTGTTTAATGTTGAAGGAAAATAAAATTAGAAAAATTATATAATCAGGAATTTTATTTTCTCAATGAACTACATCAAATTAAACTTTGAGGACGTCATAACAGCTACAAGAGCAACAACATTTCAGTGGCCTTACCTCACTTCGTACACACAACTGTGTTTGTACAGTAGTGATAAAAAACAGATAATTAAAAAATGTATTTTACTTATTATGCGCAGGTACAGGTGCCATTTTTAGCACGGATATTCAGTCTAAAACTGGCTTTAAATAATTTTCATCCATTAAGTAATGCGGCAGATGACAAAAGGTATTTGTGATCGCCGGTATGCAGATGAGCCTCTAACGGGTCCCACCAAATATAGAACGTGTTCAGCTTCATATTTATACAGTTGATAGTCGTTTACTGTTAGCAATTGTGCAAGAAATCAGTCTCAATCACGGACAAGGTCAAATCCTAAAAACAGAATTTTAAATTTACTTGCGCGTGATGCTAGTGATTCAATGAAAAAACGAAACAATGGAATCTTTCTTACACCAAGGGCCCCAAAACATACGGCACCAGCATGGGCAGTCATCGGGGTGACAAACTTTGCATATACTAATAGTGGAAGTCGTTCGGAACGCCAAGACGTCGAATACGCATCACATAATAAGACGCTGTCCACAGCATCGTTGCAATCCGTTCCAGTTGGTCACTCAACATCAAATGGTCACTTGTGGTCAAGTCTAAGTAAACGATACGCAGCATGTCTACTGATTCTTACTCGAAACGACTGAGCATGTTCGAGATATCCATTTAAGGTTTGTCGTATTTGTTCGAAACCAAATTACACATTCTATGCATTTCTATTTGTTGAGTCGACGAAACCACTGTAATTTACTAACCTTGAAAGGTTTTCAATATCTTTTGTCTTTTCCATCACATCGTGACGCCACGCTTGGGTGCTCCCTGTATTTCATAGAATGCTTCGGTTCATGTTACCGGCACTTTGTTGGCAAGATGACGACCACAGGGACGACATAACGAAATCATCCAAAACGTCAACGTTATTAGGTTTCAGAGCTGACTGAACACAGCTGCTTGACACCCAATGCCATCGATTACATAAATTCAGTGCCAAAGTTCTGATGAGCTTTGGATAAACGAATAGCTAATTCAGTCGACTAAGGAGTGGATAATGTGCACGTGGATAATGTGTTAAATATCAATGCTAATATCCGGAAACGTCGCTCGTACAGCAATACAATTCAATTTGTGAAATCAGGTGAAGCATTTACAGCATATTAAGGACCTTTTTTATAAGCTGCTCTGAAGGAATTGAAAATTCCAGACGATATGGCTACCGCATCGGTCATCTCATTCCACAAAAAGAAGAACA